ACAAGGAACCCATCGGAGAATCGGGAGAGCCAGACTGAAACGTATCCATCAATTTGATTGAAGGGAGCACCCGGTCAATAAACTAAAGTACCAAATAACAGCCGTTACAGTAGGAAAAATATGGCGGTGCCGCCAACCAGTGTGAATCGAGATGACCACTGGAAGCCAAAGAAGAAACTGCTTAAAATAGAAGGCAATGGGTTAAGCAAACAACCCAAATAATGCAAACCACAACTCAGCGGAGATTACAAATGGACCAATAGATTTACGAAAAAGGGCCCCCTTCAGTCAAGAGATAACATAACAGATAGTCTTCAAATTCCCTGTAAACGAACGCGGACAAAGAGCATGTACCGGACAAACTGCGCGATGTTAGTGTTATATAGTGACGTGACGAAACATTTGCTAGTCAATCGGTGGGCTTGGCGAACAGATCAACATCCACCCGATCAACAGCCAGAAACACCGCATGGGCACCAATATTTCAACATACCCGTTTGACGCACAATGGTAATGATTGTGTGGAAGGATAAATAAGCTACACAATAGTTCTCAGCTCCCTGGCATAAACCCAATTCCTGTACGGGAGGGTATCTGATCACAATATCTCCGTCATTGAGAGCCTCACTGGGTAACTTTTTTTTGTTTTCATTAACAATAGTTTGGTTTTCGGGGACACCTTCAACCTGAAAACGATAGTTTATGATAGCTTATCATTTGGCAACTATCTTTAGCAATGTGATTTCATCTCTAATTATCTTAGTCTAAAGGTAACAAACGACACATCAATAATTTGATTACGATTTTGTATTCATTTTTTGGTGCATATAATCACGAGGTGGGGAAACAGGAGTTACATCTGCCCATTGTGGATGTCTTCCACTTGCACAGTGATACATACTGGCTTAGTTGCCGGCTCGGGTAGATCGCAGTCAATTTACAACTTAGCATGCTATATCCTGTGATTCGGTCTCTCTCATCTTACAATCGATGCAGAATCAGACAAAACTAGGCGACCATTTTACGAAACAAAGCAACAATGCAATCCTAACTGTCTACTGAACAACGAGAAGCCAAACTTTTCCCCTGAGTCTAGTCAACAAAACGAAAACAATCACTATGGGGCAGCACAAACCAACCCGAGAACACGGAGGTCCATTGATTGATGAGAAACATCTCGACACTTCCTCATGCGCTAAAGACCTACAACCCAGCTCTCAAATTGAGTCTGTGGTTATTTTTGCATAAAAGACTGAAGGAACGTTTATGTTTGCCGGGAAATGCATATCAATGGATTAGAGATTCTTGCGATAGTGAAGGAATGCTTATCGCCCCCGACGGCGATCGACAGGTCAAAGCGAACCGAACCACTTTCACGCAGCCCAAATTCTAATCGCAAATGGCTAGAAAATGTTTATAAGAGAAGGCCACTTACATCTTATACGTTGTAAGGGCTTTTTGGAATTGCTGTACAACCTCTCCGTTCGGCCTGTGCGCTACCGTACCCCTACATTCCGAAAGAGAGGCTCATCGGAATCGATTCGCGTTAACTTCATGTGTGGTTTCTTGATCAAAACCAATACTCCAGTGGCTGGTCCTGCATGGCTAAATTGATACTGCCTTTGAGCCGGCCAACAACAACACCAGTTTGGTTTACCTGGTCTTGGGGGATAAATATGATCCCACTCGAGCAATTTTCCATGACTGTTAGCTGCTATTTCTCACCATCATTTTAAAGGTTCTATACTTCTTGGTCGTACAACCTGGGTTCACATCAGCATTCCCAGACAGTGTTATGAAATGTACTTTACAGTTTGGACGACGTCCGTATTTAATTCCGCAACTCAACTACAAACCACATGGAATATTTCGGGAATTCACGCCGATTGGATGCAACATTGGCAGACATAGATGACATCCACCGACGAGTGCTTAAGGCTGGAGCAGTTCCACACGCAATGCAGTGTGGTGTTTTCCATTGGTATATCCTTCGAAAAAAGGACGGAGGTTATTTTGACTGAAATGAACCTAAGGGTAGAAGGAAACTTCAATCTATTCCTTGATGCCGCCGTTATTTTGTGCGAAGCTTTATTTGCTGAGCTGCTTTTTTCCGTATTGCATTCTACCGCATTTGAAGTGAAATCGCCACACACTTCACCATACTCTATAATTGTAAGTCACACTCGTCGAAAATGCTGAGCGACAGACAACTCTCAGTTACATCAATCGCCCTCTGTCTGTGGCGTTTTTGACCGGGCCGAGGGTTCCACTATTCGCTGGTGTTACTTGCAGCACATCAAATCGACGACGAAGTCATTTAACGCCTCACACAATCCATTGGTGTCCGGAAGCTCTTGGTGGCAAAGGCCACTCCCAGTAACAGAATCTGCATTCGACGAAATTTCAATTATCGCATTTTGATATAACAGAGGTTTGAAAACTTACCACACACATCGTCTGGACTAGGCATGTACAACAATCGAAAACGAAGGAGAGTAAATTGTGTTGCGGAACGGGTAAGTGAGGCATGTAGTAAAGAGGTCAATGACCAAACTCTGACCTTGCATCAAGCAGCAACTCATCCCACGCGTGAGAATGTAGACCTTCAGGGTGAATGTGATACGATGCATTCCAAACGACGCAGTGTGCCAGTAGAAATTCAAACCTGACAGGTCAAGGCGATCAATCACTCATGCTTGAATCTGGTTGCTACCAGAGTCCAGATACGTTTACACTTCACTTTGAATATTCTATTCACCGGGATCAGGTTTTCTTCAATGCAGCATCCAGGGTTTTACTCCGGAATGTCCACCCGAGTGAGGTTCTGTTACAGCCACACAACTCTAGATTTGACAGCCTTTTTCCTTTGTTGAGCAACGTCGTGAGACCCCCTTCTAGCAGAATTCTTGGGTTGCGAACGTTATTCGCCATACGGAGATTTGAATCCCGGATACTTGAGATGGCAAGTCGCGAGATGGCCCAAGTGGTTACAGCGTGAATTTACTGAACAGAAGGTTCGTGGTTCGAATCCTGTCTCCGCCTCTCAACTTCCCCTGTCTGGGCATGGACAACCTAACAGTATCCTAGCCCTCGTGCTCCCTTCGGGTGGCATGGCAGTTAGGCACCTGAAGGGTGTTGCAGCTGAACATTTATTATTATTCTATTTTTTAATCAGACAAATGGCTCCGCTGTTGAATGAATAGATTCGTTTGCTGAATGATAAGAACACTAACCCAGCAATTGATATGCGGCTCGGTTATATATCCTTGATGGACACAAGATCTCTAGGAAAACTGTTGATACTGGCCAAGTGTGGGAAATATCGCTCATACGCACAGCATTGCAGATGTGTTTGATAATCTATCCTACCCGCATTTCGAAGTTTCAGGGTTTAACCCCCAAATATGCACTGCTGGTGGGCTATACGATGTAGTACTTTCAAGTACTGAGTTCTTTCCTCTCCAGAATACCTGTATGGGAACGGCGGAAAGATCGTTTACCTGAGAATAACGTGAATTCAAACTCCTCAGATTCCGCACCAAAATAAGATTAAAATAATTTGCGAAATCCGTCAAAAGTGGTTTCGTTTTTGTTTGCGCATCTTTGATGTCAGAGAATCGACACGTTCGATGTGCAAAAATAGCTAAAATCCGAAGGCAACAATGCCGTAAATAGGTAAACAACTAAATGGATTTTTGAGGTTAGGCCCAAGGGGGTAATTAGTTGATTTGTTGACCATGGCAAATCCGATCAGAAATTCGACCAGCCTCACTGGAATTAATCCTCGTAAGATGTGTCCCAGTTCTAAATGGTTTCAAATTTGGATGTCCGGTCTGTTTACGAAGCACAAAATTCGAATACACATTAAAGACGGAGGCAAAAATATCCGCGGTAGGGATGTGGTGTACAAAATCTTCAGAAATAAGCGACTTACCCAGGCTATCTTGAACGTGCTTCATCATATCTGACTGTTGTTCATCAAACCAAATATTGCCTATGCATTCTGAAATGTATTCTTCTGCCTCTCGCAAGATCTTCGGAATTTGATCAAAGATGCGTACGTATACATATGTACGGCCAACGTACATAAATATACGACTTACACATAACCAAACAGAGTAGAGTTTTAAATGTACTGAGATTGTCCTCAATGAGGCGTTCGTGTGTTACCTGTTAGAAGACTCGTTTACAACTTGCCCTTTTCAAGAAGTATCTACATGTTCTCCAGGTTAGTTGTGTCTATAAAGCATATCTTAATGGAGCATATCTCTTAATGGAGTACGCCAGCGGAACATCAGCAAACCAACCGACTGCGAGACCCAGCACGTCATCAATCTCAAGAGACGCAGTGATCTTCATAGTGGGACAAATCTGATTTCTAACTATGAAGAGACGAAAATAAATGACTCTCTAGATTTAACATACTACTCATAAGTTCTATAAAATCTCTTCGAGATCACATATCCGAGATAGAACAAAACAAAATAGAGCTTCAACTGCGTTCCACGTAGGTTTCCTCTGAAAACCAAATTGGTTTGTAGATGAGGCCGTTAGTCGAAATATAACTGTATTTATTGAATCAACACAAATGCTTCGGAAACGTCCTCAGTCTTGAAGTTAAACAGTTGATTTTCTATGGGTTTGACCCGGTTTAATAGTTCGTTTTGTTCGTTTTCACCCGTTCACTTCCCCGACGGAGGGGTGGAATTTTAGGGATAGATCAGAGCTTTAGATAAACTGACCCGCGATTGACAAAGTCTTTTTACTATACCGCTATTTCTGAAAATATTGGTTGCTTTGATAAGACTTATTTCTTTTATTCCTGCGTAGATAAGCTCTACAATTTTCCCCACTTCGACTATAAATAGTACCGCAACCTAGACTGCAGGTATCAGGATATCGCTACTTTGGAGCATCTCGGACAGTCCTCTAGATCATTAAAATCACGTATGAATCGAGCTTGAGAGTAATTAAAAATTCACTTGCCACAAACCGCGGTGGGAAACCTGACTGACTTTGAATGACAAACTGTCAAACGACGTCGGCATCAAATAAACGGATTGCAGCCAACTCAGAAAAACTGGACGTATGTTTCCGGCTTCGGGATTACCTCATTCCTCTGCTTGCTTCATTTTGAAGAACTCCGGTACGTAGGTTACTTTCCAAAGAGAAGTAATCAGGTAAGTGAAATTTAATCAATAATATATTCCTGCATATATGGAGCAGTTCGATTCAACATACTTGTAAAAATATTCCGAAGCGAGCCAGTTAATCAGCGTAACTGTCAAGTGGTGCTCATTTTCAAACAAAATTTAGTGTTACCACAGGGTCAACCAAAATTTCGATTGTCCTGCACAAAAACCGCCCCATGTTTCAACTTGATCGGCCTCAAAATACCCATGCACTTATAAATTTATCGTCAACTGTCCGATAATCCTTCTCAAATCAGGTGTCAATCTCAGTTCATGCGACAGTGAGCTGCGTCACCATTTGGCTTTGACGGGAGACTCACCTGAAACGGTACCAAGATGAATCTCTCGTTTATGGTGTTTTGTCTCAACTGAATGTGCTGAGCATTATGCGGAGGTAAGGCGTCATTATCGTGATAGACCCAGTGAAATTCTCGGACCCTGACCGAATAGAAGCCAAGTGAACAACGACAGGTGAACTCAAGCTAGGCAGTCCGGCTAGTATGCAAAAGCATACAGGCGCGCTCTGTGCGTTGCTAATAGTTCATTGACCATTTTTCTGGTTGAAATATATATATATATATATATATATATATATTCTGTTGTGGTGGGATTAGAAAAGTCGCTAATTTCAGATGGACCTTCAGCTCACAGTATTCTAAAGGAAGACCACGTAAAATAACTGCGTCTAATAACATGCCAGTTATTTCTCGTAAAAGCCCTACACATGACAACCGTGAGCGTCTGAAGGGAACAAGCTTGAGGTCCCAGTTCCTGTTAGAATGCTGTGAGTTCAGGGTTGACCAAAAGCTTGCAGTTCATCTAAGCCAACTGCCACAGAATATAGCTTTTAATGGAAGATGCCATCCGGTTCTGAGCGAAACACTCTCGACATGCAACCGAGGACGAATTGCCTTGCTAAAGTTCTCCTGTCACCGTGGACTGGCGATTTACGCAATCTGACGACCACTGCCGCTAAACTTCCCTAAATTTCGTCGCCATAGAAACCCCGGTGGAAATTTGACAATTTACCTCGGTTACGAATGTGGAAACTCACGGAAGGAACAAACACTAAAAAAAGTGCCGTTAGTAAAGTTCATGTGTTGCGCCACGCCCATAACTGCGATACTCCTAGACAACCAATAAACCTCAATAAATCAGTTATTCAACTCGACCTAAGCGTAGAGCACTTCAAAACACAGATTAAAGCATTGCTTCGTTGAAGGGGGTGATGTTATAGTCCCAAAGTTCCGCCTACCGTGATAAACCCTTGTCACGTGTTCGTTTAAATGTGACGCAACGAAGCAAGTCAATCATACTGTTTCCTCACTGGTTTGCACGTGACCTTCGTTTCAATGTTTTCAGTGGATGAACGTGAATATGTGCCTGTGTGTGCGTATATACGCGTCTTCTTCGAATAGTGCTGTGATCGATTACTTTCCACAGCTTCAGTGGGCTTCATCTTGGTCCAACTACCATAACTGGTCATATGTGCGATTCAATCAGTCAGAATGGCCTCAGAGCTCCGGTTGTTCGGCCTGAAGCAAAATTGGAGAACGTTAGAGAAACATCACAAACGACAGATTCAGCTGGGTTCCATGTGAGTTTCTCGAAAGACCAAATCAGATTGCAAATAAGTGTATTTTTCAGATTAGAGAATGTTTGTGCCAGAAATACACTCAACTGCAAATCAATTTGGTTAATACAAGAGATCCAACTAAATCTCTCGTTTGTGATGTTCTTCAACCGAATATGCCGCACATAGGCCACCTCATGATTCAGTTGGTACGAAATTCGAGATATCGCAGTATATTTTCATAAAAGAAACTACCAACAAGTTTGCTGAAAACTCTTCAATAGCCCACGACCGGATTCGCCCTTCTTGAGCCTCATCAGGTAGGCGCAGTCCCCGAGTTTTCATCAACCTCATGTTTCACTTGATCAGTGAGTTACTGTTCAAAAATGCAAGTAGCCGCTACATTGAAGATAACACTTCAGGTGAAAGAGGTAATGCTCGCGCAAGCTAGTTTGAAGATGAATGACCGGATGTTAGACCATAACTGTTCGTTAATCCAAGCGTCGGGTGTTTTCTTCCGCTGCGCATGCCTTGATGATCTCATTA